AGGGGACGAGGACTGTGGGATGGGTGCACCCGAGTCTTATCACAAGGCTGCGGGTGCTAACCTCCGGATCCTCTTCGACAGCGCCGAGAACGGTGGAGTCTTCCACTGTTTGGGGCTTCCCAACCTTGTCTTGTCTTCGGAAGCCGTGTCTCCTCCTTCGAAGCCTGCGAACCAGAGCTTGGCACTGATGATGGAAGTGGTGTCCCTTCCCAATGCGATGCTGATAATGTTGACGGTTTCCACTGCTCCTGTGCCGCAGCGCCATTCATTGAAGATGATCGCTCGAAAGTGCTCTTGTGGAATCGACATCATGATTAAAGTTAAAGAAGGCAACCCGGCAATATATACCTACTGCGGAGAAGTATGATCGACAGCGATAATCTATCACGTAGCAGATTCTAGGTATCGATCAATAAGCGAAAGTTCTGGAGCTTTCGAAAAATCGGCTCAGGACTTTCTTACCATCCCAAGTAGATTTCCTCTGCGTGCTGAATGCTTAAGTACCTCCGGATGTTCGGACATAGCCGAGTGGGGTGAAGCTAAATCTGGTGCGACATTTATAATGCAACAACGTAATAGGTAGAAGTGGCTCTATCCAATAAGAAACATACTTTGGAATTCTGCGCCGAATGCTGCTCTTCAATCTGCTAATCGATTATTAAGACGTTGCTGTGAAACAAAAAAAGAACAGCGGTAGTGGCCCCTACCCGCAAGCAAGCTCGTGGGATTGATTCTTGGCGAGTTTTCTTTTAAGAATTCTGCGGCAGCTTGTTAAAGAGATCCTGAATCGCTTTACTTCGTCAGCGCTCGCCATTTGCTTGAACATAGAACTTGAGCAATTTTTTAACAACTCCAGACAGTTACGTATGACGTCTGTACCACACTAAACATGAGCTTTCGTAGCACACAGGTGGAGCCCAAACTGTTCCGCAAAACGCTTGGTAAACTGTGGCATTCAGACCGATTCGCAAAAATGTCCATCTATCATCCTCTAGTGAATCCTAGTCTTGGGATCCCATTGTCTTGAGACGCATTGACTTTTGGTCTGCACTTGAAAAAAAAAGAAAAACAGTGTCTGACTTATATGCTCGCATAAAGTGTCTGACTTATATGCTCGCATAATTTCAACATTAACATGATACTGTTTTCAAATACAAACGGTCTCCGCGTCAATTTTATAGTTGTCAGAATTCGCGACTGTAGTCGCGAGTGGGGGGCGACGCCTAATCAGCGAATAGATTGGTAGACCAAGAAGCACACCCGAAATAAGCGGACGAAAACCTATCCCATTATATACAACTCATTGTATACGGTCACTACGATCCATGGTCTTTCTCAGGTAAGAACCACTGAAGCGTGGTAACCTTTGACCCCGCAAAACAGCAAACGTATTCTTGCGAACTTAAAGGCAAAGGTCGGGCTCAGCCACGCTAGAGAAGTAATTCCCGTGCCTGGAGGTTGTATGTGGGTAGCTGCACACATTGCAGCAACTTCCCACCTTGAAAAACGTCGTTAAGCCCCCGGGGCCGTCGGTTTCAATCCGGGACCGCCTGGTCAATCCGCCGCCCACCTCCGGAAGTGGTGCGTGGCTGGCATAACGTGTGAAATCAGCTAGGTTGATTGCCGTATCAACCGATAGAACGACTGACATCTCCAGAAAACTTGTTTGTACGTGCCTCTTTCCCAAGCCAGCCTCCTTCACTGCTAGTGGGAAAGAGGGTTTTGTTAACGGCCTTGTCGACGGTTTTTCTCAGTTTTTTCTCCACTGTCGTTCCACTTCGCATCTCTATACTCAGTTTCAATCGCCATAATACCCCCTTATTGAGCCCGACTTTTGCCTTTAACTATTCCTACGCTGTACATGGAATCCAATTTCCATAGTTCCAGTACTTAAAAGCAGGTTATCACTGGGGGTTCCTTCACACATTCGGAATCACGGACAACATGAAACAATAAAGAAAAAGACCAACGCAGTAAATAAACAAATGATTTGTGATGTAGAAACCTCCAGACAGTGATCCGGTACTACTGAGGGTCTCCCAAATTTCGCTTCCACTCAGTGAACAAGGATTGAAAGTGCTGTAGCTGATCTTTGTGTCACCGGCCTGAACAGCTTTCTCTAAGAAGAAAAATAGTCGAAGGCTAAGTCAACCTATATCTTTCACCTTTTCGGAAGCTATGGCGTAATTGACCGGCATCGAGTTGATTGAATGGCTCAATGTCATTCCCGCTGCGGACTTCGTCGTCAACTCATTAGCTCTGCAAACCAAAACACGCTTTAGATACAAAATGTCACGCTAATTTAGCCATCGTCAACTTACTCGCACTCAGATTCATTGTCCCATTTTGGATTTCCAGTACCGTTCCGGAACGTGAATGTTAGTGATATCGAATAATCGTTTTTTGATTCATTTATAATGGTCCAGTAGAAATTGCAAACTGGAAAGGAGCTGTCCTAAACACGGACTTGAGCAGAAAACTCGTTCTGAAAATTGCTCTCCATTTCCTGTGACCAAGCATAGTGGCTTTCCAACAAAAATGAAACGCACTGAATGTTGCACGTCGTCCAAATTTACCAGGTAAACATGCAAAAAAAATTACGAAAAAGACAACACCTCATAATTATGTGGAATAATTGGCGAAATCTGTTCACATATAAGTGTCAAGTCAAGGTCAGCTATCCGGAATTCACGCCATGCGCGAGGAAAAAGGCCTCGCTGATATCTGAACAAACATGTTTGTAGTCCTCACTGACGCGGATTGCTTACAAACTTCTTTTGCAGTTTTATAAAGAACTGCGCTCATGTAAGAATTTACTCAAGTAAGCGAGAGTCTACTTCCATATCAACACAGAATTGATGCTTTCAACTATGAAGCCACGGCACTGCGGTTTGGTGTGTGTGAATAGGTGTGCTGATAGCGAGGCTTGAATCAGTCGCGCTCCCACATGTATCCTGTAGCCTAACCAAGTCAACTAAAGCTAGCTGCGATACATTTTTCCTGAACTACCGACCACAAGTTAGAAGAGTGTGCATAGTCGCAGCCACACTCGCAGGGTCAACAATCATGTTGGACCGATTTCCAAAATTTTGAGACCATCCCACTCCCCAACACTCAAGTGTTGCAGATCAAGATTGGCCTATTTTCCGAGACCGCAAGAATATTTCCTTTCTGATCAATAAACAGATGTCGAGATAGAAATATATTCAATGATTATGATTTGCAAATGAGTGCATGGGCGCATCCCATAGCACGAGTTTACTGCAGAAGTGTCCAAGTGGGGCACCAGGAGCGCAACGATCGCTCTGGCGTGCGCAATCTTCCCCTCGGCCCAGTGCGGATAGACCGAGGTGACTACTACTTCAAATGACTACAACCCTGTTCAACCAAAACTTTCAGAGCGATTTGTAATCTACGAGACTGCTAGTTTGAGAAAATTACCACGTTTGGGCAGTACCCTCAGAACTGTGTTGGTTATGGGTAGAAAATTAGGAATACAGAAATGCGCACATTTTCATTTAGAAGGTTTTAACTTTCTTCCTATTAGTGTGCGATTAAAAAAAAAAGTTGAAACTCTGAACTTTTCGTGCACAACCGAGTTTTCTTGGTTTTTGATGACTATAACCTTCTTCAGATTCAACTTTTTGCAATTCTTCACCCCCTGAAAAAATTTGAAGGCATGAATACTTTTAATTGAGTAGCCTTCCCTTCAAAAAGCGAGAAGTGTCGGGTGCACAACAAACACTACAACTGACGACGGCTTTAAAGTAAATTTGGCTAGAAGTTATATAGTTATATTGATATATGAACTCATTTTAACCCTTTCGAACCTGAACTTTTTCCATGGAGAAATTTTTCTTCTAGCTATTGTTTATTACTTTTGAGCACATAAGTATCATTTTAGCGAAATTTGGAAGCAATGACATCACACAAACTTTGTCATGAGAGGGCATTAAACCAATTTCAGGAGGTCGCCATCTGCAAGTATTTTTCCAAACAAATGTATTGGTTCTCCTTGAAAGCATATTTGTGTACGTGAACAGTCAAATATGAACACCTCTGCAGTAGGCTCATTGCTCTGAGGTGCGCCATACACTCGTTTGTGGTCATTAGTTGGAGAAGCACTCGAAAGTCCCTCCCTTAGTGTCGCGAGAGCTAATATTGATTCCAATCGTTTGGTGCTGTGAGCCTACGCCTAGGAACTTTTTCGCCATCTGTGCAACACTTTGTCATTCCACGCATTGCGATGTTGACTTCGCAAAACGACCCCCACCCCCTTTCCCCCTTTTCATCGACCGAATAGCGATCCCAGCATTCATAATTTTGGTCCATCAGACGGTTAACTTTGCACACTCGGCACACACACGATCAACGTTCCCTATACTGAGCATAGGATTTAGAAAGAGGATTACTGTATCAATTCACATTTCTAACGTAAACGCTGTTCCCAATGGACTGCGCACCACGCTGGGGTGAATTCCCTGCCCAATGTTGGAGAATGCACTGAGTTCACCTGATATCTTCGCCATTAACGTGAGAGCACCAGTCAGACAACGTAGAATCATCAAAGTCGGCGGCAGAAAGAAGGCGTTTGGTAAATAAATTCCTTTCCGTCAGACGAATGTACAGTGAGAATAAACTAAAATATCCGTTTCAATTTATCGAAGGAAGAAATACATCTGACGGGAACATGAGAGATCGCCTATGGTGTAACAAAAGTGAACATTGCCTGACCTGGTTAGCTTTGATGTTTTCTGTAAACTGCTCTTTAATACCCGGTGAAAGTGAAAACTTATTGAAAGCACCACGAAAATCCGTACCTATCGATCCACATCCGATACCACCAATTGGAACACCTGCAACAAACAACTTGTTACAACAGCATAAAAGACTGGACCTTCGGAAACAAACCCGTATACTGATTGTGCTTCATTTGAGAGAAACAATTAATAAATAACCCTCTTCCATTATACCATTGTTTAGCTGCGAAGTAACAGGTACCTGAAATAATTCTCAGCAGGTACAATGGTAAAATAAAAAGGGAGGTACGCCGACATTAAAGGCAAAGCTCAGACTCACTTAATGAGCCTTTACGGTGGCTAGAAGCGCTAGGCACGCAAGTGTATGGGTCGCGTCACTTCCCTACTTCGAAAACCGTTATTTAGACGCTAGGCTCTAAGAACTTTGACACGCTCCACCTGCTGCGACACGCTCCGCCCACCGCTCGATATCTTGACTGCGTCGGAATGTTGATCTGCTATGCTCTCTCTACTTAGACTTCTCTAGCGCTCTCCGCGCTCACATTATCTCTCATCTCCCTGCCGGCCTTTTGAACTTCTCCGCACCGTAGAGGAAATGGCTCGTATTTCCTAAGCATTTCACGATTTCTTTTTCTCTTTTCTGCACTGGCGGTCCACTACCTACCCCTACTTTCACATTTAAGTGGAATTAACTCATAATTCAATCCTGAATCTTGCCTTTAACCCTGCCTGCATGTACAACATTATTCCCAAACCTATCGCATTTGCAGCCAGCGTTCACGCAGCGTCGATGGTTGGACTGAACAGCGACAGTGCGATAGCGAATAAAGCATTTAAAAAGGAAGCGATCACGCTGGCTTCCACGCTGGATTTGCTACCCTCGCGTTATCAATCGATAAGGTGTGAGGCAGTAATTGTTGGACGAGTGTAAGCCCATGGAAGATATGATACGATGAGATAAGAAGGTGCGGCTGCTTGATAAGAGGTGCACTCCAGAATGAAAACGGGACGATAACGATAACGGTATCATATCTAGCACGCTCTTATCGCACCCCTTTCCACATCGATAAGTCTTGGTTTTTGCTGAACGGAAGTGGATTTCGGCGCCTTATCACTCCGTTGATAAGGCGCCACTGCCACTGAAACTTCACGTGTTGTAACACTGGGCAGGACCCTATCCACTCCAGTACATAGCTTCCCTTATCGTTCCCATGAAATTATCGTGACCACTTCCTTTAAGCGACTAGGGGTGGGGTAATGCCGGTGTGAAACTCGCACAATGCGGTGCGCCAGTTTGAACAAGGCATCAATGTTTCGATAGTGTGAGAAAGTGGTGTGTTACGGGAGTGTGAGAAAGTGTTGTTCTCTCGTTCGCACGTTGAAGGAAGCGGTCGCTGTGGCTAAGAGGCGAATAATAGTTCCACACATCATTAACGGATAGAGTCGCGATTAGAGCAGCGATAAAGATGGTGAACAAGTGTAAACTTGACTACTATCGGTACAGTCCACATCACGAAGTCTGAGTAGGCGTGTCACCGGAGATGGAGTGGCGGCCGCCGCACTTGGTAGAAGTTGTTGCGACCATAAGGTTTGGCCTGGCCTGCCTTGCTGATTGCCAGCGCTGATGAAGGTTTTGAAAGCCGCTGATCCGCACGAATTCTATCAACTGCAACGCTCACTAGGTCAAGTTCGGAAGATCGCTATCAGACGGTTAAGATGAGCTGTAACACATGTGTACGATTTACCACATGAACCATTCGGGCGGTCAAAAACACTAATAGTTTTGGATCTTATCCAAACAGAAGCGTCCCTTGATGGCGTTTCACCCACCATCGCCTCATTAATGACGGCAATGGCGATCATCAGCGATGATGGGTGAAACTCGGGTGAGGGGCGGTATCACGCGTCGTCGATGCGGCGCTCTTTCCGTAAGCGCTTCCCCAGCGGAGGGCGGAGCCGCTATATTTCCGGCCACCAATCACCCTTTGATATATAGTAGCGGTTAAAAGTGTTCGCCGAAACGGCTTTTCTAGCACTGTTTCTTCTCACTGACAAATTCCCTTCGGGCATTGATAAGCTGTGTCTTCTAACCTTCTTGAATCTTTATTTGCTAGATACGAGGCATTGAAAAGATTATTCTCTGAGAAGCCTACGAAACTTCTTCAAGAGAAACGGTGACGCACGCGAAACCATTTCGGCGAACACTTTTGACCGCTACTGTAACTCCCTGACCTTGATTTGATTTGGGAAACGAGTTCCATCATATGTATTTCGAAGTTACCGTGGCAGCGCCCATTTATTCATGAGTTTGATACTGAAGACATTGCGTCGACCCAGCGTCGAGGACGCTGGGATTTTGTGCGACTTTTTACTATTCAAAAGCAACATCTCTCCAATTACGTGAGGAATTGGAACAATGGAGACAATTCTGGAAAGTCGAATATTGGCGCTTCCAACTAATCTGCTTAGCTTCTCTTCAAATCTTCTACTTTGAGAATTTGATCTATCGAGGACTTTTGGCCACTCAAAAAGTCGCTTCCTTCTTGCAAGCTAATTTGGTGGAAACTTTTTAATCCTCTAGAATAAATTTCTTCAACGTAAGGGATAGCCGCAAATAGGGGCTCGCAAGACTGATTTCGTCTTGGTTCAAGCACGCGACCGACCTCCAGTCATAATTGCAGACATCAAGTCAAATGTTTAGTGTGGATATGACGCTGTTAATGGAAACAATTGTAGCAACACATCCCGTAACTCCAACTAAGCGTAACTAAGACACCTCTAAAATCTGCACAGAGCATTCCCATTCACCATCATTTATTGCTTACAAATACGTCGTCATGAAGCTAGAAGAATGGAACGACTGAAGCTGTAAATGGTCGATTTTATTACCCTCCCCAGTACAATTTGGCGGTCGGATTGTGTTTGATGTCGAAATAGAAACACACAGTATTTATTATCGTATTTCTCCGAACATCCACCATACATCTTTTATCAAAGTGGGGAGCGTAAGGGTCTAGTGGGATTTCGGGCTGATTATAACAACGCAAATGAAAGGATATTGAAGTGAACACTTCATCTAAAGTATGGTTCTGAGTGACCTCTGTGTTCTTGCGCATCTCGTTAATCGGCCCCTATCGACCGTTATCACTTGGGATTGGGTTGGCGACTTTAGATGCAACCGCAATTATGGCGATTATGGCGAGACTGTTCGCACCTCCACTCACCTGCCTGTGGGGACACCTCGCTTAATTGCGGTACGCTGACTTCTGACCTCTCCTTGTCGGACTCAACCTAAGCTATGTAGATTGTATAGATCATCTACTTTATTACATTAACCCATTCAAAAAGTCACACTCATTGAACTTAGTTCGCCTGCAGGGAATGTGAGATGTGTGTTTTTACTTATATGGTAGAGAAAATAAGATATATAATGATCACACAGTCGAACTGAGTAGAAAAGCTATAGGGTGGTTTACTTAATTCTGTTCAACGAATTTAAGCGATATTAAATTGAATTTAATTATCAAAAACATTTCTGAAAGCTATCAAGTTTATAGCGTTGGTATTGCTTCACAATATGTGAGTGTTTCCTGCCCAGCTCGTGATTGGTTTTCTGTTGAGACAAAGAGCCAGCGGAGCGTTCAAAACTGTTCCTCTTGTAGGGGTGAATTTTGAAAAACTCAAAGAAACACTTTGGCCGCTCTAATGGAAAATCCTCCACTCTAAGTGTCTAAGCGTAAGTATCATAAAGATGGTAAAGGGGAGAATGTAGTGTAACACTTTGGTTGGACCAGTTGCTCTCAATAATGGCTTCTTGGGAGTGAAAAATGACATGTTAAGTGAAGCACGTAATAAATTTTTCAGAGCTGCGGTTCTTTTCAAGTTTTCTAGTGCTATTTCAGCATCGTGCATTGTAAGCTGTGATTTCCTGGAGGTTTCGCTGAAAACCTTACTCCTAAAGTTTACTGAATTATTCTAAGTATTCGATCTTCACATTAAGTTAGTGTAATTTGCGATTTTGTTAGGTTGCAGCCAATTTCCACTATATCTGAAACTTCTGGGCTGCTATAACGTGATATGATGTAATTAGTGAGAGGTCACCAGTCTACGTAGCCAATTAAACCGAGTCTCCCCAAAGGCGATTGCCAGGACACGTTAATTGGCAGGTGTGACATGGGTAGTGTTAGGTCATCTGCATCTAAAGTTCCTCTCCCCTGGGATTCCTCACCCCCTGATGCTCCGTCCGTACTCTACATCACTTCTTGGAACCAACGCCTCACTGATGCTGGGACGTGCGCTATGGATATCGTGAAATTCGGGTTTTGGCGCCTATTATCGGATCTTATCAGACCTTATCACTTTCTGATCCCCATCAAATATGTTCTCGTCCTGCCTCCTACAACATACTTAAAATACAGCGGTCGCCATGATTACGACCTCCCGTTGCCCACCGTGACAAATACGATCCTTTCTAGAGGATTTTCTCAACCGATATTCACCATGTCGCCGAGGCGATGATTACGGAGCATTCGACGACGCTTTACTGAATGGTCGGGCCATAAGAGACAAATCGTTAACTAGAACGACAGCCAGAAGGCCGACCGCAATAGGCAGCAACTTTTTCGCCAAGGCAAAGCACGCTTAACTACTACCACGATTTGGTATGGATCGGTTACGAAGAGTGTTTCGACGCCAAGGTTTTATGGTCAGTTATAAACGTCACGAGAGAACCAAGGTTTTATAGGCTGTTATAAATGTCGCGAGAGAAGTTATATTGCTTTTGCAAGCAAAAGCATTGTTTATGATTTCAACAAACCGTAGATTGCGATTGACTTTTTAGCCGACGCAAAAAAAATACTCGACAATGAAGAAGTACGACAATTACCTGCTTAGGACCCTGCTGTGTTCTCTGTAGACAATTTGTATAGCGTATATCAGCGATTTAATTTTCTTTGATTTTCGATTTGATGAGCTCATTCCTAATCCACAATAACCCTAACCCATCTAACAGCGTCGAACGAAATCCCGAAATGAAACAATGTTAAAGGATGCGATCACGATAAAGAGGGGAAGCATATGAGCTAAACGAAGTAGTAGCTTCACTGAAGAAGCTGTGGCGCTTTCACGACGAAAGCTGCGCTGGTTTTTGAGCAGTACTTGGAAAGCGCTCCGCCCAAAAAGCGCCCCGCCCACTAGTTAAGTTGGTGATTTGGACGAGCTGTGTTGCCAGCAGCGACAAAACTGGAACAACTCGAATGCATGGTGCCATAAACGCGTTGCGGTAAACTCTTTC